CTCTGTTGCACGATGTGAATTGTATCTTTATACTTCTGATGAACTTTATGTGTGGAGACGCGCGTGTTAAAGAAAGCTTAACAAAGGAAGGCTTGGCAGACGTAGTACATAAGTTATGGGTTTGGATAGCATTAAATAAAACAGTATCAACGTCCGCCTTAAAATTATTGGCTACGTTCACAACGAAATGTAACGTTGGTAAGATGATTTAAAAGTGTAGCATTTAGTTATTAATAACATTGACTAAGATATACGATTTCTGTGTATCATCTTTTTAAATTAATTATGCTTTAATTTTACCGCATTTTTAGCTGCACAATCTTTAACATTAACGACGATCTTACCAGGAAGTGGATTAAGGAAAACGCCAAATACGCTTGCGTTGATACATGTTGTTATACAAGTAACGTGTAAAGAAATAGAAAGAGCCGGTCAAATTTTCGATAATCATAAAATGCACTTTGCTTTCCACATCTTGCGAAACGCGGTGCACGTTCACGAGTGTAGAGTCTGCATTTCGAAGGTAATTACATTTATCTATTATTACAATTACAGCATAATCTTGAAGCAGTGAGACATAAATCGCGTTTGCTTTGGGCACTCATGCGCTGTAAACTTTATTGTATCTTCCTTTCGCATGTAATGAATGATCAAAAAAGTTTATACAAATCGTACTGAGTAAACGCGGCATTAGTAACGAGCATGTGCTTGGTAGTATTTCCAAACAGATTAAGTAATTATAAATTAATTGTTTGTTTCACAGAGTAATCTTCTTCAGCTTTTTACCAAGATACATCCCACAATTACCAAAAGAACGAAACCATGGCCATTAGTGGAAATGTATTGTCTAGAGTTTTTATTAGATTTTACTTACTATGAGGAAGGGCAATTGTGTGTGCCAAAGGTAAAAATATAGAGAAATATATTAGTTGCTTGTGATAACTATATAGTATTGTTTTTAGGCCACTGATGCTTTAGACGTCCTAATGCATTTAGCAAGATATCCTTCATCAACGAATAAAGTACTCGCAATATCGATATTACGCAATTTAGCTTTCAACATAGCGAATAGACCCCGACTTCTTAGTTCAGGTAAATAAATACAAGATATGCAGGAAAGAGGTGGTACAATAACTTATATTCATTGAATATTACTTACACTATGTTTACTATTTCACAGTGGATTTCATAAATCTGTTGCATGACGTTTTTAAGAATGGATCGTCATGTGAGATCAATTTAGTTGGATCCATGATATGGTCTTTGATCAGTAACAACCAAAAAGGAAAACTTATTATGCGAAGTGCCGGGTTCTCTCAAAGCATTCGGGAAGCCCTCGGCAGATTTACGTTGTTAAGTATCGATGGTAGTAAACAGGAGCAGGAATTAGTTAAAGTTCTGCAATATGTGCTCACCATTCTCAGTTCAGTCGAAGTAAAGAACAGTAATACGCAACCTAGTTGATATTTTGAGGAATGCTCAAATGTTGTACATATTAATTTTTTATTTTTAATCGACGTTAACTTATAAAATAATTCAATGTAATATTTTTTATATTAGGTTACAGGGAAATTCTGCGAGATTTTTGTTAGCTCATATACAATATCTTCGTCAAAAATGAACAAAATTTAAATTTAGAAAAAAGATTTTAAAGCTTGAAATCTCTACTTTCAAAAGGTTTTTGTAATTTTTTTTAAATTTGGTAATTTTTACATATAAAAAACTACAAGCTGAAAAAAGAGAAATTTTTCTTCTCACTTTCTGGGTCTGTCATATACCAAAAAAGAACTTGCAAAAATTTTTGACTCTAACATGAAAGCTTAAAATTTTTTCTAAAAATTTGTTTTTAAAAAATATCTACAATTTTTCATTCCTGAGTTATTCGCGAGTTGATTTAAAGGGAACATTTTGATTTTAATTGTTTATAATTTTGTTAATTTTGCAATCATATCGTGCAATTAAAAATCGCTAATTTTTTAAATATATAATATACAATTTTGAGCTAATAAAATACCGCAAAACTTTTCCTCCAATACAATATATGGAACATTGTATAATTATACATATGTGTTATATGCATCTTAAAGAAGCGAGTTCGTACAAATTGTTAATATAGGTATATATACATTTTTTGAACAAATATTTAGTGTCATTATATCTTATTTTTTAACAATCCTTTATAACATCCATATTCTATATATTTAAATTAAAGTATACTCAAAAATTCTTTCCTTGTTCACTATATTACTTTTGTCGATCATCATTTGAATGCTTTCCATTTATTGTTATTTATGGAATATGTAAAGAAAGATGAATAACATTGTAGATTTATATCATTAAATGGAACGGATAGAAAACACTCCCTCTCCCATTGTCAACCCTTTTTAGGCTTGTTCTTTTCTAACGTTTTCCATCAGAGTGATAGCAATGGGTGTATCCAGAAGCACAACCGCTTACTGAGTTTTATAATTCATCTCGCGCTGATTGAATTATTCTTTTAGATCTAAAGAAATAATCCTATCTCAGCAAAGAATCATAAAACTGTTAAAAACGACCGATGTGGAGTTGTGTGGAGTTTTAGTTATGCGCACGCGTAAAAAATGCTAATAACGTCGATAGCAGCGACGCCAGCGACGCAGGTTTACTCCTTTTCATGTTCACGTTGAACTCGCGTGTACGGTATCGCGACAAGTAAATTACGAATCGCAGGTAATCATTCGTGATAAAATCCATCAACTTTATATTAATGTAGTGAACGGTGCGTTGAATCCGTTTGCATATCCCGATGATTGTATTTAACGCTCGACACAAAGTATTCATGAGATATTTGAGGTGCAAAATGAACCGGTGCAATCGTTCGATCGTTTCTTTTACCAGCTGTTTTCCGCTTAAACTGCAAAAAGTATATCTCAAAGACATGAACATTACGATATAACTGAAGAATCTTACAAAATTTACTTTGTGTATAGTGCAACCATTAGTTTTTATCTGTTTACTGTCTTTTGTATGAAGGTTAAGTTAGGTTAGCTCTTGTGGATATCGTAATGTTATTATAGAATAATAAACGAACTATCATAGGAACCCTGAGCATCCACGGATGAAGCTACAATATTTAAATTTATATACTTTGTAACTGTTCATTACATTTATTTTTTTGGTGACCATATAATAAGTTTAATATACTTATAGCTGGTTGTATTGTGTTATACTTGTTGAAAGTTAAGCTTTTCATAGGATATACAATTGGTGCTTTCCTGCAAAAGATAGAATAACTCCGTTCTATTCAGCTGAACTTTATGCACAATTCATCTTCCCTCTTTTTTTTCATATTAGAGAAAAAAAAAGACTATACAAGAAGTTCAATTAAAAAGAACAAATCTAGTGTGGCATTTGATTATTTCATTTTGTTTTCAACACTGGTAAATAACAAGAATGTAATTATTCTTTGTTACATTGTGTTTTTGCCAGAAAGTACTTAATATAAAAGTGTATATCAAGGAATATATAAACGTGGATAAACATATATAAGTTATTTGACTAATGCTTCCAACGTTTGGTTTTCAGCCATGGTGCGTATGAATGTTCTTAGTGACGCCTTGAAGGCAATCAATAATGCTGAAAAACGTGGAAAGCGACAGGTGTTGTTACGACCCTGCTCTAAGGTGATTGTTAAATTCTTGACTGTCATGATGAAACATGGTGAGTGAATTTAGTATAATTTTTACTATATTTAATAAATACTTATTTTTTATACATGTATTTATTTATTATTATTATTAATTTAATTTATGTTACTTACATATATACTTATATATAAATATAAATGTGTATGTATATATATAACACACACTCACATGCACACATACACATACTAATGCATATAGCTATGGCTATATTCCAAAATTTACTGTTACTATTGAAAATCTATAATGCACATGTGACATAAACTATAAATGTTCAGTACTGGCAGTAAATTTTGGACACACACAGTCTATAAATACAGATGTAGATTTAATATATAATTTTTTCTACATATATATATATAGATCTAATTTTAGTTAATCCTGCATAGTTTATGTTTTCTTTTTTTCTCCACTTAAAACAATAACAGAAGAAATGAATCATAAAAAATATTCAGCAAAAAAATAGGCCTTATAATGTATATAATTATCTTTTATGATTTGTAACAATAGATGAAAAAAATCAATTCTCTTTTTTTTAAGTCAGAATAAATATAATTTTAATTTATATACATTTAAATATATTTGTTTTACACAGGGTATATTGGGGAGTTTGAAATTGTGGATGATCATCGCAGTGGGAAAGTAGTAGTAAATCTTACTGGAAGGTTAAACAAATGTGGTGTCATTTCACCTAGATTTGATGTACCTATCAATGACATTGAGAAGTGGACCAACAATCTTTTACCTTCTCGACAGTTTGGGTAAGCCTTTATTTGTAATATACGAGAAATTATCTCTTATTTTTCTGTATAAATTATAAATAGTTTGGTTCCTGTTTATTTCAATAACTAAAATAAATTTATATTATATAGAATGAGTAAGATTAAAATCAAATAAGAAAGTATACTTGAAAGATTGCTTAGTAAGTCAGTTAAAGTGAAAAATATGCATATATAAAGTGATTATAAGATTATTATTGAGCATTTGTATATTCAATGTATATTTTAATATACAAATTGTGTTAGTTAATTTAACTTTAAAGGAAATAATTATATAATATACACATTTATTTCTATTTGTCTCAGATATGTTGTATTGACAACTAGTGGAGGAATTATGGATCATGAGGAAGCCAGGAGAAAACATCTTGGAGGAAAAATACTGGGATTTTTCTTCTAATTTTTTAGTTAAGTAAATAAAGATGTAAACACAAAAAATGTATGTCTAAGTGATCATTTGATGAAAACCGCATACACTAATACTTTACTCCTTGAAAATATTTACTCCATTATTTTACGTTTTATTTATAAGGCATGCTTTTGAGATACAAATATTTTTTATAAGTAGTGTTTTTCACTTAAGATTTCCTTGTTCCTTTAGTTGTAAATTCCAGTAATGTGAGCAGATTTGCTTGTCTTGCTTGCCTTATTATATCTCTAAAAAAAAAACCATCTTAATTGTCATTGTGCTAACACGAATTATAAAAGACAATATGCATTTAATATTTACCGGGAGCAGAAAGGTGGAGGAGAATCAATAAGGCCGTCGCGAGTCAAAATACGTCTATCTAGGAGTTGGACTAGATATTCGTAAGGATCGTGAGGTCGACATAACAGAAGCTCGCCGAGCAGAGAATCGATGATGTCATGAATTCCTTTTTGTTTCAAATATGACACTGCATCTCGCATATTTCGCGGTATGTGTTGAACAGTATCATTTTTTAAATGTACATTGGACGTTTCTTCGGTTTCTTGTTGCTTCGAAGACGAGTTTAAATAATTCTCCATCCTTCGTTTGTAGTGGATTCGGAATTCAAATTTTTACGATCATCCAATCCAATCTCTCCATCGTGTCTCTTTCCCCCTCCCTCTCTGTCCTAGTTATTTTAGGTAAAACTGCGAAGTTCCAGATTCAAGGCTGCCAATATGTGGAGGAAAGGAAGGTTCCTGATTGGTTGATTCGTTTATGCGCTATGCCAGACTGGCTATGCGTTATGCAAAAGTGTGTGCTGCGGTCTTTTTAGTTCAAACCTGGTCAGGCCGCCATTTGGAATAGAAGAAATCTACTATATCCCGGTACATTTGTGCTCTCACCTCACCGTTGTTCAAGGTTCAAGGACATTGCAGTCTCGAATCGTGACAAGTAGTGAGGGTCATTTATCCCTGATTTCTCATAATTATTCTGACGTCTCATCAATTGACATCGATCTTCAGTGGTAATAAGTGCTGTTTCGCGCAGTTGAAACATTCGGCGAATCTGACCATGGCGTTATTGAGAATTGGCAGTGTGGAAATGTTAAATTCTTTAACTCGCGTCTCACGCGCAGGTACAAATAACTTTTCACAAATTGCAATTTTTATTTCGCTCCGTCTTATACATACAAACACATGCAATATATATTGCGAAGATACATAATCATATATCCAAGTGTGCTGACGTTTTGTTTTTGTGATTTAAAAGATAAGAGTTGAAACTGACACATACACACACACACCACACACACACATATATATATATATATATATAATTATAGTCTGCTACACGTCATTCTAACTTTGCAACTTATCGAGATATAGTGCTTTTGAAGATTTATTTATATTTCTAGAAATTATTTAAAATATTTGTTGTTATAAGCATCTGTAATATTATACAGTATAATTTAAATTATATATTTTCTAAAATTAAAACAAAAAGTATATAACCACAGCGCTAGTTATTTTATATATTTTCTTTCTAAAAATCATAAAACCGATATTAAAATATTTAACTTATGAAAGATACTAGCTTTTTCCGTATCAATAGTAGTAGTCAGCTCATATCATGGCTTAGACTTTTATCACTGAGAGATGTATACATTTTATGAGATTTATAATTTTTTAATGTTTACATGCAAAAAAATTTAAATAGCAAAAAATGATGTCCATATTATGTTTATTTTAATATATTACTTTATCCTTGTACTTTTTATCATGGTCATGGCAGTCATTTTACATAATAATCTTTTTATATATTAACATAGATATAATTTTAACATAAGAACTTTGTCGTATAACACTTACCTATTTTAATTTTATTTTATACCTTATTAATTTTCCTTCTTAATTTATTTCTTAATTTATACCTTATGATTACAGATGATATAGATTACACTACATCATATTTATAATACATATATATTTAATATCGCGTTTCAAGACTTAATATATAAAATATAATTATAATAAAATGTTATTTTTCTCTATTTTGTTTCGATTATTTTTTCTTAAAATATTTATAATCTTGAACATCTGAATTATATCTAAATCAAACACATAAGTATAACTATTCACTTATTAACTTCTAATCTTCTGATCTTTAAAATGTCAGCGTAAACTGTACTATCTTTGTGAATAGTTGTCTTGTGTTGTACTTTCTATTTATTTTTAAACTTTTTTCTTTCCTGTCTTTCTTCTTGTTTTAAATGTTTTACTCTTTATGTTTTTATATATGTTTATGACTGTCTTTCTTTTTATGTTTGTCCTTCTTAAAGCATAATTAATCTTTATATATTTTTAATTGTAGCATTCCTGGAGATGCAGTGTGCGACCCCGGCGGCAGTTCATTGGAAACAGCAGCCGTTGCACTTGACTAGCGCACGTTATTATCCAGATCCACCGACTCTCACTTTACCGAATAATGTTTGTGACATTTTTGCTAATGAGACTGGTCGCTTCACGCCAGAACGCGCGCGTGACATCGCACTGTATACGGAGAACGGTGGTACCTCTGTTTCCACAGCAAACTGTTCTGGATTTCCCAAGATCCGCGATGACAGCCATGTGGACTCGTACGATTGTTTCGGTGCAGTCAGTCTGAATGGCACGATGCAGAGCAATGTACCAAAGCCATTTTCCTCGTGCGGCAAATCCATGCATCTTAATATGCCTGGTGGGCAGTGGTCCCGCGACGGCAAATACATCGCTGAGGACATGCAACGCTCACATTACCGCAAGTTGTCGTGTAAGAACGACCTTTGACTGGATTCTGAAGGGTAGAGGTGCTTTCCTCGTCTTCGCTTCCTTACGATTTGTATCTTTATAATGTCCTCACTGTTCTCTGAATCCTAGAAGAGTTAATACGATCGCGAGATTTCAAATGTTAGAAGAAAACCAGAGAACATTTAATTAATTATGAAAGTACCAAATTATCTAAATATCAATATACGTAGAATGATTGATTCCAAATTAAATTAAGTAGATAATCTTTGCTGGTGATAGATCTAAGAATCTGATAATTTATACAATTCGCTAGGATTCAAAGATTAGTATCCTAAAAATTCATAATATTTAAAAAACAATCTAAGTTATAAAAAAGTTTATAAGAGGACTTTTTATCTCCTTGTATTAATGTTACATCAATATTATACCGATATTAGCAACACATTGGATAGTCACAAAAGCTCTGTTGAAGATTTTTATATACTTGAGGATTTGCAGATTTTTAAGTTGGATCTTCAAGGTAAATAAGAACAAGCTTTTGTGACTATCTAGCTTCTGAAATTTACATTAGGCAATTAATATGTCGCTCAGGTGCAACTAATGCCTTCATAATGAACCCGCTTTTACGAGCGACATATTGGCCAATTTATACCACCAGAATAAGCTACTCGACCGACATCTCTAAAACATCCCAGAAGGATCAAGCTGCGGTATTCGCAACGAAGTCGAAGCGGGAAAGATTTCGCCTATTATTGAGGGATTATGGAAGCACTCTCCTCATTTTTCATATCACTATATCGCTGATAAGCCTCGGTGGTTGTTATACGGTGGTCATTAGGTCAGTCGTGCAATCCCTGCAATATGTCTAAAAATCATATCCTCTTTTTCTAATTGAAACATCTAATATCGAAAATTTAATATATATATAATGTATATATAATTGAAATGTGTATATATATAATTTATGTATGATAAATAATTTTAATCCAAACCGAAGATTTCATATCGAGGAAATATTTGATCATTATCATTTATTTTTAATAAATGAATGATACAATTTCTCAAATGTGTAATTTTTTTCTATTAATTCGAATTTTTATTTTCAGTGGGATCGATGTAACACCGTTTGTACAAACGTGGACAGGAGGAAACGAACAGGTAGAGAGCTTGCTGAAAGTTTCGACGGACTTTATAATAGCATATACAGTTCATAAACTGCTCGCACCTGTTCGAATGGGAATATCCTTGAGCGTGACTCCAATGCTCGTGAAATATCTGAGGAAAATAGGCTTGCTTAAAATAGCGAAAAAAAAATCAGCATCTACACCAACAACTTCACCAATTAAATCATCACCATCTTCGTAAGATAATTTGTATTAATAATGTTTCTTTTGTTAAAAATGATATCTGCTATTTATAAGATTGATATTTGTGTATCTTGTATATAAATTAAAATGAATTGATAGTTTTGATAATATAAAAATGTTGCTACTGGATAAATTGACACATGTTGTATAGGAAAGACTATCATCTTCTTCTGTATAATTTAATTAAAAGTTTAAAGTTTTAATGCAATTCTAATCTATATTGTGTGAAAGGTATAGGCATTTATATTTAAGTTATCAGTTTTATAAAAAAATTATTTGTAAATAAATGCATATTATTCAAACAAAACAAATCGGCTTCGCATATATGCACCTCTCGTTTATTATATAAAGAATATAGTGATCATAAAATTTATATAGTTTTGTATCTCGCATACGACGGAGTCTTACGTTTCGCGTATGTCATAATATATAATAATCACACGTATTGCATTCGCAGCACAAAATCTTCGTACACAAAAGCTCGGTAATTTCAATTGGACGAATTCGCAGTTTGTTCGCGAGTTAAGGCTGATGGCAGAAAATGAAACGTGTAGTGTTTACGTCTCAGTTCTAGTTTTTCTTATTATCTAGTTAACTTGTGGTTAGGCTTAACCTAATGTATTCAATTTCATCTATGATAATTTGATGGTCTATTAGGTAAAACAACAGGTTAAGGCTTAATCATAAGTTAACAAGATAATGAAAAAGTAGACCTTATTAGATAATATGAACATAGAATAAAGCAAAGAAAAACACAACTTAAGTCGTGAACATGGTTGGCAAACTGTTTTTTTTTTTTTTTTTTTTTAAAGAATAAAACATTATGTTTCTTAACATAGTTGTAATGCTTCAAATATGCTTTAAACAGTATATTATAAAAAAAAAACATGTTTAAAACATTAAAAATATCGATTAAATATGTTTTAAACTGTTTAAACATGTTTTTTACCAATCCCTGATCATAAAAGACTATTTTACAAATGTAAATGAAAAATCACATACATAATAGTCTTTTCTACAATTTAAGTTATACTTTTCCTCCATCTTATTCTACGTTTACATCTAAGATGTAAGCGTTATACGTTTCATTCTTAGTCATGAACCTAAATTTAATCATACGTAAGACGTCAATGTATATATGTACACAATTTTTTTTAAAATATACATAGAGAGAATAAAATTAAAAAATGTATATATTATGTACAGTGAATGTGTAAACTTAAAGTAGTATACTTCTTACAAGTAAAATCTTACAAGTTAATCTCGTTGAGATTCCGTCGAAATACATCCTCGACATTTGACATTACAGTTTAAATGATAATACATTCGTCGCGCGGGAAAAGAATCCTTACAGCAAACATAGATACAAAAGAAAAACGACTGACAAGAGCTATCAAAGTCTCCTTTTGAGTATTCTTTTATGTCCCTTTAGTATTTCGTAAAAATTAAGCGTAATAGATTGCGGTTCTCTATCAATGATATTAGGATGGAAAGATTCGGCAGTGTGAAGTGATTATTAAGACGTTTAGATCTTTAATCCTTACAATTAATTCGGTTGGATATATCAACGCATACTAATGTCAGTTATATAATAATCTATCTAATTCAAATATAAAAGCATGATGCAAGCGCTTTGATTAATGAAATGTCTAAACTGCATTCTATCAAGCAACACGATAATTTGTACTTGAGCATCTAATGCGTCCATTTATTATACACCTTTATAAATATGTTATGACAATTTTTAATGTGCATTAGTATGCGCTAGTATATCCGACTAAATTTATCACTAAAAGTCTTAATTCTCAAATTATGTTGGATTGTAGGATCCAATTAGCTGCTTTGAAAACTTTGAACACTTAATTTGTCTGTGCTATAGCATTTGAGCATTTTCAACTTAAACGTAAGGATTTGAATCATTCGTAAAAAGAGATGAGATACGCTAGTAAAAGAAGAAATAATATAAATTGTCTAATAATACTTTCAAACTCATCAACATTCAGTCCAAATACTTTACGAGTCGTAGATCGTTTATAGAAACGCGATATAAAAAACTTATTTGGCACAGCGACGAATATTAACGTATGTCTAATTATTCATGAAATAACCATAAACACAATCCGAAACGTTGTTTTCAACTTTCATACAAATCGATTTGATTAATTTGAATCAAAGTTGAAAATAAAAACAAAATAAAAATTGGTCTAAAGATTTTTTAAAATTAAAAACAATTTTAAATAAGTAATTTTAAATAAGTAATTTTAAATAAGTAATTTATATATAAATAAAATGATTTGTATAAATAAATTCGAAAAACAATTTTAAAAAACTTTCTATGTGTTGATATCACATGACAAATTAACATTTTTGTTAAAAGCTAATTTCCAATGCTAACAAAAAACTAATATTTTAGTTGTACTTTGTATCGTAAAGAAAAATTCAGACGTGACATTCAAAATTAAAAAATTCCTATCAGCGATCATGCGTCTGTCTTAATTGACGAACTTATACATTTTAACATCATTATATAGTCACGATATATCATAGATGTTTCCTTCCACATACACATTATGAGAAAAATCTTATTTTCTTAACTGCACATTAAGTTACAAAGATCTATGAAGTTCAAAAAGCAAATAATGATATAATATTATTAAAAAAAAAACATTAGTTTGTTCTCTCATTTCAACATCTTTCAAAAAGATTCCATTAATGTTATAATTTACCTGATTGCTCAAAAAGAAAATATAAAAAAGTACGTAGATTTTCGTGAACAAATGTAGTCGCAGACTTAAACATAGGCTTCAGTGCGATGACCTCGTATATGATGGAAGAACTGCTGCCAACTGGTAAGCGTCTTCTTAGACCATACCCAGAAGCTGCTAGTAATGCCCACAATCATCGCCATGAGGTATTTGATCATGAAAATCTCAAAATCGGGTTTACGACCAATATCGCGGATGCGTTCGTTAGAAGGGCACGGCATTGAGTAGAGTAACTGCAGACCCGGTCGCGAGCACATTTCCAAGTTCCATGTAAGCATCCATTGATCGAAATACGCTTGCTCATAGAAGAGGCAGGCGATTACGACTAGAGCAGGTACGATGTAAAGCACAGAAAAGATGCCGATACGAATCATGAGTTTCTCGAGTTTATCAGTCTTCGTACCGTCGTGCTTCATCACTGTTCGAATGCGAAAAAGCGAGACAAAACCAGCCAGCAGGAACACAGTGCCCAATAAGAGATAAACGCATAGTGGTGCTAGCACGAAACCCCGAAGAGCCTCCACGTTCCAAAGACCAACATAGCAAACTCCGGACAATATATCACCTATATAAATTAAATTATAGAAATATAATTTATATAGATATCTAATGCAAATTTTATATACATATATATACTATATATATATATATATATAATATAATTTCCAACATAAAAATAATAATAAAAGTAACTTTGCTATCAATTATTTTTGAAAAGAAATTGTAAAGTAGTTTCTATTTGTAATATATATGTGTGTGTGTGTGTGTTTGTTTATAATTAAGAAAATACGATAAAATGATTGTATTGCACACCTGTATCTTTTTTAATGCAAAATATTGGAATTTGTATTATAATTGTCCACATACCTTCCACTTTTCCCATTGCCAGAATGGTAACAGTCTTCACGGCTGGTGCGGCCCAGGCAGCTAAATGAAAGTATTGCGAATTGGTTTCGATCGCTTCATGTCCCCACTTTAATCCAGCCGCTAGGAACCATGTGAGGGTGAGAATAACCCACCAGATGCTCGACGCCATGCCGAAGAAATAGAGAATCATGAAGAGCACAGTGCACAATTCATGTTTAGTACCCTGAGTGATTGTAGAAACCGTCTGTAGCTGCATACCTACAGGCGGTGGGAATGGCTCCCTACACGATACAGAATTTCCTGCTGCCCAACCGATCACATAAACTAGTGCTACCATCAGGTAACATACGGACAAGAAAATAATAGGCCTCTCAGGATACCTGTACAAAAAATAAATGTTTAAAATTTGAAGGTCTTAAAATTATGGCTTTATTTAAATATTTTTAAAACTCTTATTATTTTTCTGTCCATTATAAGATTCACTATGATAGTATCACTCCTTTAATTTATAATTCAGAGAATGTGATTTTTTAATTATTGTTACGAATGAGTTATTTTATTTTGAATTTAGTTATTTTGATATATGTATAAACAAAATTAATACATAAACAACATTTAATATATAAACGTTTTAATTTTGTACAAGATCATTTTTAATGTTAGCTATTAAATTTTGAATATAATATAATCAATTAAAACGCAAATCATGGGACTAAATTATAATAATTAATGCATAATTAAATCTGCATGTATACCAAATATAAAAAGTACATATGGTACTCAACTTTGCTGTTATTGAAATGTCATAATAAAATCTTTATTGGTGTCATACTTTTGATGACCTGGTTTAAAGTTGAAACGTTTGTTTTGTTTATGTATTAAATACTGTTATTGACTTGTAACTCTTTTCTTTTTATATTAAATTTAATATGTTTGAACCGCTTCTCTCTTTACAATTTCAAACTTAGTTATATATATATATTTCAGTTAAGATCAAGATAAATTCTTATTCTCTATTTATATACAAGTATTAAAATAATTAACAGTAACTTCTTCGATTTAATAATACTTTCATAAAGAATGTACAAACTCGTCGAATGTTTGATACATTTCATAAAAGCATAACTTGATCTTCAAGAAAGTGAGTGTTACCTAAATCTATCCGTATCAATGAGGAATGTCAGGAACGTGAAGAAGCACGAAGCGGCACAAATGGATGCCCAAGTGCCAACCCATACCCTGGAGAATCTTCTTTGCCTCTCGGTGAAGAACATCCCATCGCAGGGTGCTCCACAATCGGGTTCAACCTTGTCTCCCACTTTAAATGAATATCCTAATCCATGAGGTACCTTGAACTGCATTGGACAGACGAAGCCAAAATCCCTGGCTATGATAAAATTGTTGCCATTACCAATGCCCTTGCCAATGTGAGGTCTTAATCCTTCATTCCAGGTTGGTTGGAACTCTGCCATCGGCATACGGGCGGGAGGAGAGACAGGTACAGGTTCCTGACGTGTGGTAGTCTCGTTGGTGCCCACACAGAGCTCCGTGCCGTCATTTTCCGGCATCTTGGAGCAGTCTAGAGCCTCCGGCCACATGAAACCGAAACTGTTCATCAGTTCTTCGCAGCCGGAGCGCGCGCTCTCACAGAGTGACCGGCACGGCGGTATCGCCTTCTCGATTATGGTACAGACGGGAGCGTAGACGGTGCACAAAAAGAAGCGCAAATCCGGGCTGCACTTCATCTTGACGAGCGGCATGTACTGGTGCACCTCTTGGCCGGCGTCCTCTTGCTTCTGATGATTCATTAGGTTCGGCATGATTGTCTCGTTGTACGGGATGTTCATGCAGAGATTAATGGTGATAGGTTCACAGCGGCCGTGATGAGCGAGCGGATCGCTAACCCCACCGTTCAAGGCGGTGGAGGAGTGTAAAGCAGAGGTGACAGTCACCACGCCTGACAGAAACGCGCTGATCATCATCGTCGGCAACATCTCTAGCCTCCTCTTTGGGAACAGGCACACACCACCGAAATTACACTCACGACCAATGACGAGACATGCTGATATTTAGGCTCGACAACCACAACGATGAAAGTGAAGGTGATATGTGAAGGTGACGATAACGAGGATGCAGGGTGAAGGTGGTGATGAGTGATGATGAGTGATGACGACCGAAGTGACAGACGCGCTCGTGTAAACAGTTATGGCAGTGTATGTACGAACGTCTCGACGACTGGAGCAGGAGAAGGGAGAGATTATGGAGAAATCTCATTGAGCTGTATGTTCAAAGGCCAATAGAAAAGCTGGCTTTCTAGGGATTTTTTCAGATTCATCATTCCAAGTTTATATACTGCTCCATAAGGGAAATCGAAAAGGCGTATCCGTATTCCCTGTCTGTGTCAATTTTATGGTGGAAAGTTGGAGTTCGACGAGGGGAGATTTAAACGCGAAGGAAACGAAGCGAAGCCGATGCCGGTGATTAGGAGCAGAAGAAAAAGGAGAAAAAGAAATGATGCATAATGACGTCGTGACTGAGGATGACCGAACTCTCTGATTCCTTTTATGTTAATATAGAATTATTGATCACTTAATGCTTAACCTCTGCTTAAACTCCGAAGGTTAGTTTGTTGTACATATATATTTAATTATGAATGTTAAAAATGTTAAACAATATTTTTAAACACCCATTTATATATATATTTTTTTTATTTTTTTTTATGTTCTTGTAATTTTGTAATTCTATAATTTCGAACATTTGTTAACAATTTGCGATCTTTAATTGTAACATTGATAATGACCTAATAATAGAGGTCAAAATAAAGTCTGTTATCTATTTCTTGTTTTTCTGATTACTACGTAATTTTAACCAAATGACAATTTTTATTTACAAACAATTGTATATTTTAACGAATTTTTTGGCTCGTATAGTCCTTTTTCTGTTTCATTATTTTTAAACAATTTTCTTTATGTTATATATATGTACATTTGGATTTACTCTCATTAAACTATACTTAGTATTCAGTCTTTTTTTAAATACAAGTTATATCATATTTTAGTTCCTTGAAATTTATGAGTGATCGGATTCCCAGATGGTTGCTCCCCAAATGTCATGTGATGCTTGTTTAACGTTTAGTAAGCAACAAGGATGGAGTGACACTTGTCTAGATAACGCGCACATAATATCTGAGAATATTTTTAAAATATTTTCATTATTATTCTCAAGCAAGAAATGAGTGAACATAGGAATGTGAGTATATATATATATATATCTCTTGTGACATTTTTAGAATATCTTTAGAATATTATTTGCTATCTAGACAGGTAAAAATTTGAACTCAACATATAGGAGATAGATCGATCATTTTGAGTACTCACATACGGGATATTATGAAATATTATTTGGATTCTAATCAAAAAATTGTTAAATTACAACAATCCAGCTATTCTGCAGTAACATTATAAATGTTGTAGTAATGTTATTTCTAGGTTCTATGCTGCATGCGAATAATTAGTGTCTTTTAATTAACAAAAATTAAATGGAAAATTTTAACTAAGATCCAGCTTCAGTACTGTGTTATATACACAGATTTAGCATCTAGAAGATTAATATATGAAAAAAAAGGCGAATTATATTTAGCTATCTCCTTTCACGATTTATTATGCTTAATTCTTAATCGAGGTTCAATTTATTCTTCATTTCTTTCCAATTCTATAATTTCTTGGTTAAGAACTAACTATGAATTGTGAAACTTAATTTTTCTTCATAAGTTCTTCTGACATCAAGTTTTGTTTTCCATGGACAAAATCGGACTGATGTCGACAGAATTACAGCCCGAGTATTGGAATGGACAAAAGGTGAATGGATAGTGATAAATAGATGGGGACTCAACGATCTCGATTTTGATTTTATTTCCTTTTTCTGATACGTAATGCGCAACACGTTTCGTTAGTCTTCGTCAACGAACAGTATGCACGATCGTAATCGCTACAGTTCTCTTTTCTCTTTTTTTTTATTTTTTTTTTCTTTCGCACTTATACAGTACGACACGTGCATCGTATGCACTTTTAGACGGGTTGCATTCGCGGGCGAACTCGCTTGCTGCACTATTTACAACGCCAATCGCGTTTATGCGAACCGCGTATTTTCAAAACCCGCCGGATTTTCTTCAAGATCCGAGCACGAGATCTCAAGTTTGCTGTTTTTCCTAGAAAACAATAGAAATCTACGAAATAACTGATTAATTTCGATCGGAATCTATTCCGAATAATTTCAATTAATTTCATCGATAATTATTTTTTTTATGCTAGTGTTATTTCGTTAATAGAATAGAACGATTGATTTTTGTAAGAGAAAAAAGATATAATTAGATCAATGATAATAAATTGTGTAGCTAGAAATGTGTTATGCGATTGAATTGATCGCTGCCAGTTGATCATCTATTAAATTAATCGGAGTTTGATTAAAATAGCCTTATTGTCCATTTCTGTCAATGTAGATTAACTTCAATCTCAGTTTAACATACTCTTTATCTTTTTTCTAATTCTAAGTAAGAATTAGAAAGAAATTAAACTAAGATTAAGATAATTTTTCATACACTGAAAGAAATGAGCTTATAGGTTTTGAGAAATGTTAAATTCTTGGAGTAATACATCATTCTGAAGTTATATTGAGCTCTTTGTAGAAGCTTTTCTGCCGTTGAAGCTTCGATTGTATTCTGGCGGAAAATCTTACTGATGAAATATTAATAATATAAATTAAATAATATAAATTGAATAATATAAATTAAATAACGTGTTCATGATCATTCAGAAATATGATATTTTATTGACGACAACTGCATAACATCTCGAGAATCCTATGAGATTCGTTCGATATCGAAGATGCTAAGCACAACTCTTCAAACAAATTTTATCACATAAAAAATACCATTCTATATTTTCTATAGATTTTATCCAAAATAAAGAAAAGAGTAAAGTTCTTTATCTCATGAGAGAGATAAAAATTCTCTTTTCGCAACAAGATAACAGCGGGTATTGAAAATGAGCGTCTCGTTTGATAGTCGATATTAGTTATTGAGGAAAAATCACGCGCGAGCCGCCCGAATCTTGAATTATTTCGTTATCGTAAACAAATAAATAATTTATCTTCTCGCACGAATGTACTCTCGGCTCGCGCACCCAAGTAGCACTCAACTTGTGTGAGCTCAGCCTTCTTACGCCTTATGATTAGTATTATTTAACATTTAAGAGTCATTATGGAAGATTGAAGTGCACCACTCGCATCTCTCGCGCGCCTCCCTGCTTAATTAATCTCGCTCGTTTCAGTTAATTAAATCTCACAAAAGAAGAACGATCAATTTAAGAAAGACTAATGTAAAATTAATTCTAATCTTGAAAATTGGAATTATTGAAAAATTTTGGTTTTACCTTTATTTTACTTAAAACATTTATCGTGGTTTTCAGAATGAAACGCGACAAAAGGGGACGTCACGGAATTCAATTTCTTAGTATAGGATTGGAAATCGCTATATTTACAGTAACGCGATATCATGGAAGACGACTGATATCACTTATGGAAGGTCCAAAATGTTATCGATGCCTGCGGGTCATCGATAAGAGCGCGAGTCGCTATGCGATTTATAGGGAAGCACTGTTTTTAAGCTAAGAGGTTTGTCTAAGTTTTTTTTCTCTCTTAGTATTGCTATTAATAACATCGCGTGATAGTAAACTCTAGTCGATTGTAAACTTTATTATTGGCACAATATCGAATTCCGAAAACGATTGAACGTAATTTTTCTACGTTCTTCGCATACATGTGTAGATCCTAAAATAGTATAAAATATTTTATTTATGATTAGATATATACTGATTTGATATATTTCCTAACGATGCACTTATCATCGGAATGCATGAAATTTTGTAATGACTAGAAGTATATTTCTGATTAATGATATCTTTTCCCAAATTCTTTCAGGAATGGTTCAGGTCAATGTATATATGCAGAGTTCTTCTTTTACGAGATCTAACATTCATGTACTTTTACTTGATAATTTGCAGCCGAAATTTAGTAACGCTTATAAATTTAAATATGTAATAATTTGTATAGAGATGTAAGGACAAAGAGAGAGATCCTTCCAGAGGAAAGACACACACGTGATGTTATTACAATGTAATTCTTGCGAAAATTTCGTCAGTAAGTTTCTTTTCAATTATATTCATTTTCAATTCAAATTCTTCGTTATATGCATATTTGTTAAATTTTTACTCAATACTAATTTTTCAGATTAATTAAGAGGGAGATAAGCACAAGAGTTCCGTTTCAAACCAGAACTTATATTATCTTCCGCTAGTGCACGCTCTACGCGAATTTATAACGTCGCGGTCACTATTTAACCGTGCGTTCGAATACGGCTGTATGATCTTGCGGAAGAGAATCGCATGGGCGCGTACAACGCTAAAAAGTCGCGGCACGGACACGGGCCATAGGATTGGTATGCAGCGCGTGCACTAGCGCGCGCACTTTCTCACATACACTTGCATCCACCTGTACATGATTGCGTGTAATCATCCGGCGGACAAGGTCAGAAGAAACCCTGACGCCGCGATTACAATTCCAGAATGATCGATGCGTATTCACGCGTTGTCAAAGAAACGCGCATCTGTATGTATGGAAAATATGTATGTGTGTTTTAGAAACGACAAACGTATTTGTGTATTTTTTCTGCCTTTTCCATTAGCACCAAACTTAATATTAGTTGTGTGTAGATGTATGAGATTTTAGAAGCTGCCCTGAATTTTTATTTATCAGGACCCTCTTACATATATCAATACTGCGCGATTTCTTTGACACGCAAAAGACAGGATAATGAAGATTAAAATACTTTCGAGATATTCGAAAAAATGGACAGACTTTCTTGGAATATTTTCAGCAAGATTAATACACGATTATAACGCGCCCGCCGTACACATCCGGCCGACCAGTGCGCATTATA